CACCTCTTTTCTGGACGGATCCGAGTTTCCTCTTGATCTAGAACTTGGGCAGGCCACCAGGATACCTTCTGACCTTTATTTTCCTGGAATTTTTGGCCCTGAGTTGCCACGATTTCCTTCTCTGGCTGGGATTCATTGCTTTGGGGGGTCATGCCGCCAACTAGAGGAGTCAGGGACAGGTGGCAGTCGGGCAGTTTGGCGAAAGGACGCAAAAATCCTCTGCTGAGCATCTCCCACCTGGTCCCACGTGCTCGCTGGCAGGATGCGGAAGCCCTTGCTTGGACACAGAGCCAGGATTCTGTCAGGATCATCCCTGGGGATCTAGACCCCACTCGCAGGGCAGGCAGGGTAAGTGTCCTTATTGCCCCAATCCCCTGGGCCTGTGTCCTGATCAGCAAGCCTGTGAAGGTGCCCCTTTCTCAGTCCACTCAGATACAGTCAGGGTGGGAGGGGAGGAACCTGCTGGGATGCTGGGTTGACGATCAAAGTCAGTGGAAGGCCAAGGGCTGGGCTGGTCTTCAGGCTCCAGCTGGCTGGCCGGCTAGGTGGGGGCAGCAGGTGCGAGTGAGGCTGGGTCAGCTCAGCTGCTCCTGGGTGGCCCAGGTGCACCGAGTCCTGCTCAGGGATCCAGGAATTTGCTGAAGCCGGGAAATAAAGCAGATGCCCCACTATCCAGCCAACACTCCATGCTGGTTTCTTCTCTGGGCTGTCTCAGCCTGGCCACAGCCTTCCGCTCTCCCTGTCCTGAGGCAGAAGTGTGGTCCGTGGGCGGAGGAAATGTCTGTCACTCTTGCCCTAGAGGCCTTCTCCACTGCAGGCCCACCCCCTGTTCCTCTTCCGTGGCTGGTGGGTAGGCCTGGTCCCTCTAGGAGTGGGTTCCTCTCCCTTCTGGCTCTGTCGGGAGGAACCGGCTCTCAGTGCAGCGCTCTGCCTCTAGGTGTCGCTGTCTCCCTGCGGTAGCTGCCCCCTGAGCAGGGCCTCCTGGGGGAAGGAGTGAGACCTGGCAGTAGAGATGGGGGCTTCTTCGGATATTGAGGAAGGGACTTCTGGCCTAGGATCATTTTATGTCTCGTGGCCGGATGGAGTGGAGGAAGACTCCCAGATCACGACTTGGATCTTGGAAAAGGCAGTCTTGGCTCTGGGCCACGTTATGGGCTTTCCTGGAGCAGGATCTAGAGTGAGGGGCTTGGAGAGGACAGGGAGACCAGCAGGATGTCTGTGACAGATGGAACCATGTTAGGAGCTTGGTTTTGAAGGTCCCTGCCCTTCACCTCTGAATCTTCTTTCCTGATGCCCTCTCTCCCAAGGGCTGTGGGTGTGGACCCTCTGGGCTGTGGACAGAAGCGGGGCCTCAGCTTCCTGCCTGTTCACTTTTGGAGAAGCCGGGCTGCAGGTGTGAGAAGAGGGCCGAGGAGGGACACACTTCCCCTTTTGCAGTTGGCTGATCATTTGGGTTTTGGAAAGAAAGGAAAGACAGGGGAGAGGGTTTCAGAGGAGGGTGGGAGGAGAGAAAAAGAAATAGGAGAGTGAGAGAGGAAATGATTTGCGTAGAGCATTTTTTGGGAGGGGCTGGGGTGTAGATTGTCCTGAGGAGGCACCATTTCGGGTCTTGGCAGCTGTGAAGTGGCTTGGGCGAGTGGAGGCTGGGCCGGGAAGGGGTAGCTCTTTCCTCGGCTGCACCTCAGAGCACAGGATCAGGCCTGTCTCCCATTCTCTTTCTTTCTAAAATGCTTTTTTTTTTTAAAATTTTCAATTACAGAACTCAGAATGAATAGGCTAGGGGTCCAAGAAGCCTTTTCAGCATGCGTGTGACCTTCAGTTGTCATCGCCCTTCTCTGGGCCTCAGTTTCCCCAGGGTAAAATCTGGGGGTTGCACTCTGTGGTGTCAGAGGTCCTAACAGGCTATGAAAGTTAAATTGCTTTCTGCTGCTTACACGGCATAATCAGTGCTGTGGTGGGCCTCTGGCTGGAACTGAAGCTGACAGGAGGCCTGGGGGGTACGAATGTGATCCCCTCTGCTCACCCCAGCCGGCCCTGCAGCCCCAGCTCTCTGCTGAGGCTCTTACACTGGCCTTCTGGCTGGCCCAGTGCTGAGGGTGACAGGGTGGAGCCAGCTGAGGATCTGATAGAGCCAGGGCAGAGGGCAACTGCGTTCTCCGTGGGGTTTGAGGAGGAAGGTTGGTGTCTTAGGACCAGCAGCCCCTCCTCTGGCCTGCTCTGTTGGGAGATGGCACTGAGTGGGCCTTGATGTGCTCTGGAGGAAATGGGTGTGATTTCCAGAGGGTCCTGACCGACCCTCAGCCCTGCGTCTTGTGTGGGAGACTCTGTTGGCCTCACTCATGCTTGTCTTCCCTCCCCACCACCCAGACGAGACCCTCCGCTCTTTGGCCAGCCCTTCCTCCCTGCAGGGCCCCGAGCTGCACGGCTGGCGCCCCCCAGTGGACTGTGTCCGGGCCAATGAGCTGTGTGCCGCTGAATCCAACTGCAGCTCCCGCTACCGCACGCTTCGGCAGTGCCTGGCCGGCAGGGACCGCAACACCATGCTGGCCAACAAGGAGTGCCAGGCGGCCCTGGAGGTCCTGCAGGAGAGCCCGCTGTATGACTGCCGCTGCAAGCGGGGCATGAAGAAGGAGCTGCAGTGCCTGCAGATCTACTGGAGCATCCACCTGGGGCTGACCGAGGGTAAGCCGGGGTGGGGGGGTGGCGGTGGTGGTGCGGGGTGTGGGGGCCCAGGTTCAGGGGCAGGACGGGGTAGTGGAGTGAACTGGCCAGCTCCTTAGCCCTCCTTGCTGGGGGAAACAAGAACCCAGAAGTAGCCTCCTGACCTGGGAGGCAGCTGAGGAGGAGAGAAGGCAGGGTGGTGGGAGGAGAACAAGGCTGGAGCAGGGGTGAAGGGGCGGGGAACACACCAGGGACAGAAGGACCTATGACCGTGTCAAGGGGTCACAGGAAAAGGTGAGGAAGAGTCCCAGGCAATGGAGAAGTGAGAACAGGATGGAGAGATGGACCGGGACCGGCCCTGTGCTTGCAGAGCTGAGCTGCCAGCACACAGCTCCTGCCACTCCCTCTGCCTGGACAACTGAAGTGAGGCGATTTGCATATATTGTAAGGGGTGGCCACCTGGATCAGACATTCATTTATTGACTCAACAACTGTTTACTGAGAGTTTACCACCTGGTAGGCGTTGTGGGAAGAGTAGGGAACAAGCTGGGGTACCCTCTGCCTTCATGGAGCTCATAGTCGGGGGTGCAGACAAGAGAGGAGGGCTTTCTGTCATTTGGGGGTGTGAGTGCTGTGGGAAGCGCTGGGCGCTGTGGGAGCACTGAGGAGGGGCAGCTAACCCCTTGCCACAAAATCTGGAGAGCCTTCCTGGAGGAGGCAGCCTCGCAGCTGAGACTAAAGAGTGAGCTGCAGTTACAGAATGAAGAGCTGTGGGGAGAGCGTGGGAGGAGAAGGGAGGGCTGGTTAAAGGCGGCGTGGGAGGGAGCGGAACCGCTGATGGACCCACAGGTGACAGTATGCAGAGGGGCCGCGGGAAGTGGGTGGGGTGAGGAGAGTTGGAGAGTACCGTTCTGCTGGGCAGCAGGGCACCTGGGCAGTGTTGGTGATACCATCCTTGCGCTCCGCTTCAGGGACGCTCACGTGTTTTCATGAAGAGCGAGACTGAGGGACTGGAAGGCGGCGTGTGACACAGGCCCGGGATTGTGGTGGCCGAATGAGGACAGGGCAGGAAAGGAGGAGCTAAGGGCTGTTCAGGAGGTAGAACCCACAGGGGTTGGTGAAGGGAGCGAAGAGTCAAGGAGGCCGCCCAGTTTCTGTCTTGGGAGACTGGTGGGTCGGGGGTCTGGTGGCAAGAAGCAGCAAAGGTGTTGAGTGGGGGGAGGGCAGGGAGATGATGAGTATTTGGGGGCAGGTGCTTCTCCTTGGCCATGCCCTGCGGACAGCTGGGTGTGCAGGGCCGGAGCTCAGGTGGCAGGGATTTTGGAATCGCCATCAGCCTGTAGGTGGGAACTGGGCTAAGGGAGTGAGTGCCATCTCCATGGGAGGACCAGCAACATGTAAAGATGTGCAGGGAGGGAGGGGGCCGGCAAGGGTGACGGAGGAGGAGGCTGGGGGAGAGGCGAGGGGCAGCAGAAGACCAGGGAGGAGCTTAGGAGTGTGCCAGTCTCCAGTCCTTTAGGTCCAGCAGAAGAGGGTGGGACAGGGTCCTGGGGCCCTGGGGTGAGCTTCTTAGGTGGCTGTTGGGAGCAGAAGCCTGGTTAGGGGGCGAGTGGGAGCTGGGGATTTACAAACGATGTATGTGGACAGCAGCTCCTAGAATCTTGGTGTGAAAAGAAGAACAAAAGATGACATTTTTTAAGAAGCAAGAAGGTTGGGCAGTTTAAATTCTAAGGCAGGACAGTGTTATGGAGATGCTGAGGTGAAGGGGGGAGGGGTGCTCTGTGGATAGTACCTGGGAGAGGGGAGGGGCCGGTCAGGCCCCGGGAGGGGTTATCCTTAGGTCAGAGGAGCAATCCCACCTCCAGGTGCTGGCGGAAGGAGGAAACAGATCAGGTGTGGAGGCCAGATAGCGAGGGGCTCCTCACCAGTGGCCAAGATAGTTCAACTCTGCCCCGAATATAGCAGTAAGCTGTGCATATAATTATCAATAGCACCACCACCATTAATCACCACAGAGTGATTCCTCGGGAATCAGGTGGCCATTCCTCCCATTTCTAGCAGCCTCGAGTTCTAGAACTAGAAGTGGGGCCCATGCACCGTGAGACAGGAGCTGCCTGTGCCCCAGGCTGACTCTAGCGCACAGAAGACGAAGGTCCCTGATTCAGTGAGCTGGGTCCTTTAGTCTCTTGTTTTATTTCCAGCGGCCTTCCATTTCAACCCCAGGCAGACTGGCAGCAGGTCGGGTGGGGGCTGCAGAATGCACGGGGGAGGGGACAGAACTGCCAGCAGAAGAGCCAGGTGGGCTGCCCGAGACCTTCCCAGTGAGGGGCTCCCTCTGGGGACTTCTGATTGGAGCTGGGCCCCGAGGTGTCTGGAGGTAACAATAAGCATTCCGTATGTTTATGCTGCGACTGCCCTGTGGTCTGCCAAGTCCTTTTGACCCAGGAATGTCTGGCTGGTGACAGCTCGCTTCCAAATCTTGAGCTGCTGTTGGTTTATTTACTCAACGAACATCTGTTAAGCCCCTAGTATGTGCTTCAGAGGGTGATAGGAGCCACAGTCAGTCCCTATGCCTGGTCCCTATACCAGCCAGCCAGCATAAGGGCTGGGAGACCCTTCCCCTGGGCCCCATGCTTATCTCATTCCTCAGAACCCAGCCCCCGCTAGCATCCCCCTCCCCCAGGATTCTACAGTCTCCTACCCCAGGTCTTGGGGCTCAGAGGTAGTTTCTGCTAAGAGCTGAGCATGGGAAGCCTGGAGGCCTGTTAAGGGCAGGTACTGTTCCTGTGAGTTAGAGGATCTATGTGACAGTTAATTATTCATGGTGTGGGGAAAGTGGTCCCCTGAGCACCTCCTCCCTGTTCCTAATAACATTGAGTAACCTGGCTTGGTCCCTGGGGTGGGTGGGCGGATGGGGAGAGGAGAGGCCTGTGCAGGTCTGGACTTTGGTTCTTGTCTCCTCCTTGGTCCCAGCTGGGGGTGAGAGTTCCCTGGGGGTCCCTCCTACTCCCTCTGCCTGAGGCCCAGGTCCTCAGCCAGCGGTGGTGGCAGGAATGTGGCCTCTACTGAGCTCCTAGAGCAGGGGTGGGGAACCTTTTTCCTGCCCGAGCTCCTAGAGCAGGGGTGGGGAACCTCTTTCCTGCCAAGGGCCATTTGGGTATTTATAACATCATTCGCAGGTCATGCAAAATTATCAGCTTACACATTAACCTGCTATATTTGGTCGAATATTTAATCAACTCATCCCTAATGCCTAATGAGTTGGTTGAATGTTTAAAACCAGGGCCAGACCAAATGGTTTCTTGGGTCTTATACGGCCCCTGTGCCGGACGTTCCCCACCCCTGTCTAGAGAGTTCCAACCACAAGGGATATTCAGCCCCACAACCATTTTGGTGGGGAAGCTGATGTGCTGGGAAGAGAGGTGGTACCCAGGGCACACAGCAAGCTAGAGGAGACACAGCAAGCTAGAGGAGGGGGGGGCAGGCCTCCTTATCCAGCCCCTTTCCAGTGCCCTGGGGAGGTCCTGTGGCCTTGGGCCCATCCTCCCTTCCACCACCACCGTGACCACCGCCACCACCACTGGTATTTACAGGGCGGAACTGTTGCTGTTGGACATCTTGCCCTTTTCAAAGGTGACAATGAAGTTCAGGGCTACCCTGGTCCTTCAGATGTGAGCATCAGAGACCTCTCCCAGGTCCTCCCAGGTCGTGCACACGGAGGCGCAACCAGCCCCCTTTTCTGGAGTCTGCAGTATAGCAGACCGAATGTCCTGATTTGGCTTCGGTCTGGTTGACAGGGATGCTCAAGTAGCCAGGCCTTGGGTTTCCACCGGTGAATTCTGTTGCCCTGAGAAGAATGGACTCCTCCCAGCCAGTCCTGGGAATAGGCCATTCCCTTCCCCCCAACCCCCCAGGTGTGGCGCTGCACCCCATGCAGCTATGAAGGACAGGCCCTGCTCTGGGGGAGCAGGCCAGCTGGCGGGAGACGGATCCTGTTTAAGAACAGCTTGGTTTCAATAACACTTTATTTTTGGGGACAGCATTCATAATGATTAAATACTTGGACCCTGTCACCAGCTGCTTGGGTTTGAAGTTTGACTTTGCCACTTACCAGCTGTGTGGCCTTGGGCAAGTTACTTACAAGATC